ACCATCCAAAGAATCAATAAATCCTACTTGCATATGTCAAGAAAGAAAGATATAATACAATTTGGCCCTTACCTTCAGAAGGTGAGGAGATCAGATTAAATTTGACCCCAAAAGGGAAAGTGCTGATTCTGGGAGAAAGCATTGCAGTTAGAAGCAGAGGGGAAGTAGTGATTAATTCTAACAGAAAAGAGGCATTTACTGAGTACTACTTATACTAAGTCAGTTGTGGATCAGGGAAGCAAGCATCACTCTTCCTATCTAGCAAACAAACAAAAAAATAAAGAAGAAAACTGTTAGAGGTGGGCTGGAGATATGATTCAAGGCGTAGAGAGCAAATATATCACCAAGCAAATGTGAAGCCCTTAGCCAAAACCCTAGTTCCAGCAATAATAAAAAGGATGAATGAGGGGCTGGGAAGGTGGCTCAGGGGTAGAGCGCTTGCCTTGCATGCATGAGGCCCTGGGTTCGATTCCTCAGCACCACATAAGCAAAAAGAAAAAAGCCAGAAGTGGCGCTGTGGCTCAAGTGATAGAGTGCTAGCCTTGAGCTGAAGAGCTGAGGGATAGCGCCCAGGCCCAGAGTTCAGGCCCCACAACCAGAGCCCCCCCCCAAAAAAAAGGATGAATGAATATACACATATATATACATACGTACACACACACACGCATACATGCATACATACATAAAGTGCTGTCAGGTGTCATCATTAAAAAGTAACCCTTAGGAAGCAAGGAGGGAGAACAAGTGCACTATGGACCAGCAGAGAAACTATGGGAAGAAAGCTTCCTAGGCTTAAGAATAGCATATGCAAAGGTAAATACCAAATAGTCTTTGCACAAGGACACAGCAAGGAATAGCAGTACAAGAGTCCTAGAACAAAGATACAGGTATAAAGAAGCCACATAAATGAAAACTATTTGATTGTAGTGGAATACCTGTTAAAAAACTAGCAGAATAAACACAAGCTGCCACTATCTCTGAAATGATATATTGTGAATACTCTTTAGAAAGATTTTTAAAAAGCATGTCTATTCTCTTCCTTAAAGTAAAATAACTCTGGATAAAGAACAGAGAGATCACTGATACCAAAAAAAATACAAAAACAGTTAAAAATTCTCTAGGTTGTTTCTAAAACTTAAAATTAAATATTTTGATATTCTTCTCTACTTTTATACTAGAGATATTCCAAACTTCAGTACAAATAACCCAGGGAATTCATAAAACCAAACAAACTACTGATAAGAATACTATTACATTGAGCACATACTTAATGTCTCAATAAAGTCTACCTATAGCAATCACCAAGACAGAAACTCAAAAATAGAAGCAGATGCCAGAAGTTAATATCTATAATTCTAGCTACTCAAAAACTGAAATCAGTAGAATTATGGTTCTAGAATTATGAGTTTGTGCCCAAGCCTGGGCACAAACATAAGACCTCATCTCAATCAACAGCTAGACACAGTTGTACTAGGATCCTAGCTACATAGGAAGTGTAAATAGATGGCTAGAGATTCAGCCAATCCCAAGCATAAATATAAGACCCTAAGGGTTGGGGATAGAGCACCTGCCTAGCAAGCACAATGCCCTGAGTTCAACCCTCAGTAACACCGAAAATAAAAATAAATGTAGCCTATTTTTCATCAGTAAACCACAAGTGTTCAATAAAATATATCAGTATATTCAAAATTGGTGGCGTAAAATAATGGTTTGAATGCTTTTGACATACCTTTAATATTCAAGACTATTTAAATAAGGAATTAAACTGGCCTACTATAAGACAATGAGGCAAAGTTGACAAAACACAGAAAAACAAAGCTAGACATTTTTAGGGATTATATATGGCAAAAGCCTTTTTAAAACAATACAAGAAAAAGAAGAAAGAAAAAGTAACTCAAAAAATAAAAGCATCCCATTTGATAGTTTAAAATTACGACGTCCTAAATATTTTAGAGTTAGGAAATCAGTCATTGTGACATTGTAATTCAACTCCACTCAATAAGAGCTCTCATATTAGTCACATCATGGCAGCAGAATATTCTGAGTATGGTTCACTGTGCTTAGAAAAGAAAAAATGCCTTTGTCTAATATTGTAAACATAAATGTAACTGCAATAAAACTTTGCAGAAAAAAATTCTGTATTTCATCTCCAAAACAGTTCAGTTTCAATTAAAGGTTTACTGAGTACAAAAATGTTTAATATCCTGAGTAGACACAAGTACACAAACAGGAATAGAAGATATATGAAAACTAAATAATGGCTGAAAGATTAATTCATCATAAAAATAATTCTAAACAAGTATATGCCTATATAAATAAGCTTAAAATACTCAAAGCAAAATTCCAGCTGAACTTACAAGAAAAAATTTTAAGTCCAACTATCACAAAAGGGAATCTCAACACTTTTCTCAACTTTTCCATCAGTTCTTCATCCTTTCTTAGCCTGTTCTGCTTAGATCAGAAGAGAAATATGAGAGACACCATCTCATTCCAAATTTTTATTCCACATTTTTATTCCTTCCCATCTCAAGTTAACAAAAACATACTGATCAAGGATGAAAGTCATGACTATTAGGGGCTAATAGTCAATTGAGATATAGTAAACCTCAAGAGAAGACATTTTGTCTAGTATAGGAATCATGAGTTGAAAATGGTAAACCTCTGAAGACATCGGGTACTAAATGTTACATTGCTGCCATCTGCTGGACATGATGTTCAAGTGCATTTCAATTATATTCACTTTTTTTTTTTTTTTTTTTGGTCGGTCGTGGGGCTTGAATTCTGGGCTTGGGTGCTGTCCCTGAGCTCTTCAGCTCAAACCGAGCGCTCTACCACTTGAGCCACAGCGCCACTTCCAGTTTTCCAGTGATTTATTGGAGATAAGAGTCTCACAGACTTTCCTGCCCGGGCTGGCTTTGAACTGTGATCCTCAGATCTCAGCCTCCTGAGTAGCTAGGATTACAGGCATGAGCCACGGGCGCCCGGCTCAATTATATTCACTTTTAAAAGGCCTCATAATAAAGAACCATAAACTATAGCCTTTATCTAGTAACATGAAGATACTGTCTCTAAATATTCTTCCTCTATATGTACAACTTTTAAAAAACTCTGTTAAGTCTAAGTATAATAGCTTATAACTGTAATCCCAGTTACTTAGAAAGAAGGCAGAGACTGAGAGAATGGCAAGTAAGCCTCAAGGCTAACCTTGGCAAAAAGTTAGCGAGATCATCCCAACAAATAAGCCAGATATGATGGCAATCATCTGTGATCCCAGCTGAGGGGGAGGCTATGGATAGGAGGATTGTGATATGGAGCCAGCCTCAGACAAAAACCTGAGACCTATCTAAAAGATAACTAAAATGAAAATAAGGGGTGGCTCATGTGGTAAAGCACCTGCCCAGAAAAGCCCTGAGATCAAACTCTAGAACCACTCCCACTTCCATCTTTACCCTCTCCCCCCAAAAAGCCTGGTAGCAATGTTGGGTTTGTTGTTTTTTTTCCTGTCATTAATTTATAGGCAAACAAGAAATTATATTGCCTGAAATCTACTTTGAATGTAGACACACACACACACACACACACACACACACACACACACACACACACACACACACACACACAATTTGATTTTTATGGGAAATCTCATCTTACATACTAAATAATAAATGATGAGTCTTTTTTTTTTTTTTTAATGTCAGGGGCTCCTGGAGTTTGCTGGGCTCAGTTTTCTTACTCAGCTGGCATTCTACCATTTAAGCCACACTTCCCTTTTTGTTGGTCATTTTGGAGATGTAGTTTGCCGAAGCTTTCTTTGAACTGCAATCTTCTGGATCTCAGCCTCATAAATTCAGGAATACAGGCACAAAAGCCACTGATGCCGACTAACAATGAGTCATTTTAAACACATCCATTACAGTGTATTCATATAACATATTAACCACATTACTCGCAACTGTTTCTTAAAATACCTGTGTATAATCAATGGTAGGTTTTCTAGCACTCACCTATACCTGGTTCCTTTGCTTTCCAGGCTCATAAGAAACTTATACTTCCTGTCCCCTTAATACTTTTATGTCACCATATGTGTAGTCTGGTCAGTAGGTGGTTAAGTGAAGGTGGCAAGTGCCACCTTCAAACCAAACAAGTAACTACACTGAGACAATATAATCTCTTCCTCTCCAACAAGGGGCCTCAAAAGGTCAAGCCCCAAAATCAAACTTGTAGGGGTCACTATAGACAGCTGCCTCAGAGAGCTATCCAGACCTTCAACAAACTTCTAAGAGTAAAAATTAAAACTCACTGTGTGCAAGTGGCACTGTGGCTCAACAAGGTAGAGTACAGCTTCAGCTAAAGAGCTCAGGAACAGCACATAGGCCCAGAGTTAAAACCCCACAACTAACAACAACAACAACAAAAATCTTACTGTGTAAAGAAACTCAGAGGTGGTCTGTGAATGGTACCTCTACATCTCCCAATAGCAGAGTAAGTGCTAGGTAAATGCTTTGCTATGGGCACTATCCTATGCACTGTGGGAAAGCAGAACTTCTGTTCACCAAGTAACACTTTGCAATATACCTGGAAATATTTCCAGAAAGGGCTGGGATGTAGCTCAGTGGCACAGCACTTGTGTGCAATGTCCTAGGTTATATACCCAGTACCAAAAAAGAAAAGATCCAAAATGTTTCCAGAAGTGTACTCCTCTCCCTCCTGGAGAATTTCTGGCCTAGCTGAACCTGACCAATATAGTACATCCATAGATATGTGTATATGTATGTATGTATTATAATGAACATGTGTATATGCATACATGTATTTAAATCAAATGTTATACATTTTGTGCTTATTATACACTTTATAGCCCTTAACAGACACACACATGAGTTCCTATTTCTCAAACTAGGAAAGTTATTTCATTAATTAAAAATAAGTCAATGTCTGTCAAAAGTTTCACTACAGTAAGGTAAACAAAGTATTTCAAAAGGGCATAAATCCATACATACTATGCTGTTCATTTCAGAAGACTCATAGCTGCCAACTGGATGCACATTTCCAATGGGTTCCAAGCCCTCTTCATCCCACATGTATGTTCCATCAGAACTATCCGATGGGGAGAGTTCAAATGAAGAACCAGCTCTGTAATCCGCATCTGGTGAAATCAAGTTATTTCCAGAAGTATGTTTTGTATATTCACTCCTATCTTCAGTTGGTTTAAAAGAGAAAGAAATATTAATTCACAAAATGTAATTACTTGTCATTTCTAAAAACTAAGCTCTAACAATTTAGTATATTATGGTCAAATAGATGGCCCAAAAGAGCATTCGTAACTGCAACATCTTCTAAGTTTTAAACAATTTAAAAAATAATAAAGAGGTAAAGTCTTTAAAATAACCTATTTCTAGTAAACAAAAAGAAAATTCACATAGTCATCTTTCACTTCTGCAACATTTCTGATAGCCTCATATTCCTTTAATATTGTCTAAGATATTTTTTTAACCACTGTTCAGGAAACTCCTTTCCTCTGTGTATGTTATTTAACTTCATAGTTGCCTCCTTATAAGGAAATAAACTTGCTCTCACAGTCCCTTTTGTAAGACCTGCAGACAATCAAGGGTTTGTGTGTATTTCTAGGTATGACCTAGTCCCTTGATTAGACCACATGCCTTTATCCAATCCTTTCAGTTCTTCTTTTAAGGCATATGAAAATACAAATATACTTTCTCTAGTATTTAATGCCAATATAGCTATCTATGAGAGGAAATGATTAATATAGTGTTACTTCACTTTCTTCAATTAAAGAAATAACATTCCTCAGAAAGTATCACTATTAAGATTGCTATAAAGGGGCTGAGAAGGTGGCTCAGTGGTAGAGCGCTTGCCTTGCATGCATGAGGCCCTGGGTTCGATTCCTCAGCACCACATAAGCAGAAAAAGCCGAAGTGGGGCTGAGGCTCAAGTGGTAGAGCGCTGGTCTACAGCTGAAAGACAGTACCCAGTCCCAGAGTTCAGGCCCCACAACTGACAAAAAAAAAAAAAAGATAATCCTAAATGTAAATTCAGTTATAATATCTAGGAGAAAGCAAGTAAATTCAAGGATGTTAATATTTACCAGAAACACTTAAATCTATCCATTCGTCAGTTTTACAAAAGGCTTTTTCATTTTCCTTGGGGGAATCAAATGTATCCTTCAAAGGTCCATTTTCATGTTTTTCTTCTTTGAGAGATATTTCCTCTGGAGTTATTCTAGTTCTGTTGGAGTCTTCTATATCAATAAAATCATCACTGAAATCTTCACTTAAATCATTCTTATCAGAAGATGACAAAGAAGACAAGGAAATATCATCCACATCATCACTCAGGTATCTAATTTTAGTATCATGTTTCATGGTCTGGTCATTTTCTCTTCTATAACTTTCATTTTCAACTACTTCTTGGTCCTTATTGATAGTATTGTCCTTAACTAAAACTGTAGCCTCTTCCTCTACACATGTGTCAGGAGATGAATTCTTATTACCATCAATTGTGATAGTCCCAGAAAATGGAGGTCGGCTGGATTTCAGTAGAGAAGGGTGAACCATCCTATAACCCAAAGTAGAAGTTACACCTGGACCATTTGCTAAAGCCAATTTCTTTCCACCAGCAGCATAAGGCCTATTAAATCCATACCCCAAATGTTCATTCCCATTGAGTACTTCCAAATGCCGAGAACTTCTTGTTAGCATACTTGACCGAAGAGGCACTCTAATGGGTAGCTGCTGGTTCTGATAAGGCTTTGTAAGATCAACAGCTCTATTGAAGGAATGTGATCTGGTTATAGATGAAGGGGGAAGGAATGAATTCTGAATGGAATGTGAAAAACTCTGTGACCTTACCATTCTTTCACAAGCCATAGACTTAATATTGTCTGGGGACTGTGCTAAGCTTTCTCCAGAACTACTTCGAGTGGCACAGGAATTTGCTCTGGGCCTCTGCATGCTACCAGCTGATCGATTTCCATAAAACCCATTCAACTGAGATTTTTGAGCACTGACTGAAGAATATGAAGTCCTTCCTAGTAATGTGCCTTTGGCGAATTTACCCAAATTAGATGGTCCAGAAAAAGACTTTTGGTTTACCTCCTCTGTAGACGATACAAACATAGTGGATGGCCTTGTTAACTTTGATGTGAACAAAGGAATGCTTTTTAAACCTCCCTTTACCCCATTTTTATCCAACATTCCTTGAGTAGAAGCATGTTTTTCAGGATCAATTAGTTTATCATGTGAATGTTGAGTATTGTTAGGTTCTTCAACAGTTTGTGCACTAAGTTGGTATTTATTTGCTTTTCTCCAATTAAAGGAATGAGACAATGAACAATCAGAGCCATTATTTTTTATATAACTTTTGACGTTACTACCCTTGGACGTTCCTAATAGAGTAACAGCTGTCCCATTGGGCATCGGCTTCAGTGTACTTCTTACAGATTTTGCACCATATTTTGGCAACTTGGAACCCAAAAATGTCTTGATTTGTGTCTTCTCTTCCATGAGCTATAAGGTACATCTGTTCTTAAATTGTGACAGAATCTGAAGAGAAAAAAAAGAAGGTAAAACACCCATAAGTAAGAATAATTCACGCCTATATAAATGTACATACACACTAACACAAAGAAAAATGCAAAGTAATTAGTGGCTCCTGTAGGCATCTTAACAAATATTGAATATAACTAATTAAAGCAAAACTTCATGCTGCAAGAAAATAACGTTTTTATGAATATCTTATTAAAAACTTGGGCAATGGATAACAGAAATGTCCATACATAATAAAAGTAAACTATCAAATATGAATAGATTGAAAAAATTCTACAGTGTATCTTCCAATTTTCTATCAAAATAGTTTTATTTTAGGTTATAAAAAAAAATCTCTTCTTTAAAAAATAAGAACATGGGGCTAGGAAGGTGGCTCAGTGGTAGAGCGCTTGCCTTGCATGCCTGAGGCCCTGGGTTCGATACCTCAGCACCATATAAGCAAAAAGAAAAAAGCTGGAAGTGGCGCTATGGCTCAAGTGGTAGAGCGCTAGCCTTGAGCTGAAGAGCTGAGGGATAGCGCCAAGGCCCAGAGTTCAGGCCTCACAACCGGACCAAAAAAAAAAAAAAAATAAGAACATATAATTTGTCTGTAAAAATACACAAGGTCTTACAAAAACTAGAACATATTTTAAAAGAATTAGAATGAGAAGAATGCAATAGCATCAAAAAAGAAAAACTATTCTAGCACTAAGGGTTGAAATTTCAGCTGTCTTTTTAAGCAGCTATCTCAAAAGAATTTCCATCTAGAAGTACAAACAACGGGGCTGGGAAGGTGGCTCAGTAGTAGAGCGCTTGCCTTGCATGCATGAGGCCCTGAGTTCGATTCCTCAGCACCACATAAGCAAAAAGAAAAAAGCCGGAAGTGGCACTGTGGCTCAAGTGGTAGAGCGCTAGCCTTGAGCTGAAGAGCTGAGGGACAGCGCCCAAGCCCAGAGTTCAGGCCCCATGACCGGATCCAAAAAAAAAAAAAAGAATTACAAACAAATGCTAAACTTAGTGCCAGGGTGAGAAGAAAAAAATTAATAAAGTTGATTGACCCATCAACCATTAATCTCAATCCCTCAAATTAATTTAATAACACAGAACTACCCATATGAAAAAGTTCAATGCACATACAAGAACATAGAACTGGAAACTAGTATCCCCTCTTTGAGTAACCACTCAATAAATTACAACATGCTGTGATAGGATTATTTTAAAAATTATAAAGAAATATTAAAACATTTGTCCAAATTTTTAGAAAAACATAATATGGTCACTGTTCCCACTAACTATATAATTCTGCAAAAACACAAAAAAGAGCAAAATACAAAAGAAAAATGAAAGCCTTTGGATCACTGATATTTTTATGTATTTTGACATCTTTAATCTGTCAAAAATGTGTGTGTGTGTGTGTGTGAGTGTGTGCGCGCGCGCGCGCTCACGCACAAGCATGCCAGTCCTGGAGCTTGAACTAAGGGCCTACATGCTGTCCCTGAACTTTTATTTTTTTGCTAGTATTCTTCCACTTGACCCATAGCTCCACTTCAGTCTTTTCTTCTAGTAGTTATTTGAAGATAAGAATCCGTTAAGACTTTCCTGTCCAGGGCCAGTTTTGAACTGTAATTCTCAGATGTCAGCCTCCTGAGCAGCTAAGATTGCAGGAGCCAGTCACCAGCACCCAGCTTAATTTGTCCAACTTTTTTAATTAAAAAAAAAATTTGATTCCACTACATGTGGTGGCTCACATCTGTGGTAGCTTTGGAAAGATTATGATATGCTAGCCTAAGCAAAAAGTTCACAAGACCCATCTCAACCCAAAAAAGCTGGTCATGGTGACACATGCTTGTCATTCCAGGTATGCAGAAAGGATCAACAGGACTGCAGACTATTCAAGGTGTAACTAAAGCAAAAGGGTGTTAAAATCATAGCTCAACTAATAGAGTACCTGCCTATTAAGTACAAGGAGCTGAATTCAAATACTAATACCACCAAAATATAATAACTGACTCCAAGTCAACTATAGCTTAAGACAGAGTTCGAGAAGATCTATTTTTATTAATAGTGCCAAAATATTTAGAAAATCATGAATTTTCAAGTAAATTACAAAATGTCCTTTCCCCAACAATTAATAAAAAGGACAGAATACCTACAATGTGTGGTTTTTCTACCCCAAATCCATAGTCAAATAAAAAACTATTTAAACTAAGAACATATGAGCTTTAAAAAACAATGCAGAACCTTTAAAAAAAATGAACTATGCCAGTGACTTTGTTTATGTGAGCTTTAAAAATAAGGTTTGAAACATGAACATATGAGTTTTTTAAAAAAACAATGAGCAATGACAGTGGCACACACCTGTAATCTTAGCTACTCAAGAGGCTGAAAGCATAGGACTAAGGTTCAAAGCCAGCCCAAGTGAGGCTGGAATCCAGCCCAATAGAGACTGGAGTCCACAAAACTCCAATCCACAGTAAGTCAGTTATTTATGGATTCATGTAGTTTTGACCAAGATAAATGATTAATCAATCAAAAGAAATTTCAAAAACCAAAATTTTAAATTCCTATTATGCTTTGCCAAGCTCAGTTGATTTGAAGCTCTCCGTGAGTTGTCTTCAAAAGTTTAAATCACTTTAAATTACTATGTGATCTGAGTATCTCCCTACTCTTAATTTTGTGAAAATATGCCTACCAAAAGGCAAACTGTGTCCAAAAAGCAAGTGAAAGTTAACAGGCTTAATTAACTATAGAAGTGAAAATTTGACATCTGTTGAGAGGCACCTCTTGTATGTAATGGAAGTTGGGCAAACAGTGTTAGCAGAAAAAGTGCATCCAGTATCTGCTTGAGCACTGAGCTCTATTACATCCTGAGTACTACTAGGTTTTTCTCAGAGGTGGTCTTCTTGGAATCCACAGACTCATGGATACAAAAAGTCTACTATTTGCTGAATGGAGGAAGAAGTTTAAAGTCCATTAAAATGTACTATATCACCAAACACTGGTAGCTCATGTCTGTAATCCTAGCTACTCAGCAAGCTGAGATCTGAGGATTGTGGTTCAAAGCTAGCCTAGGTAGGAAAGTCCATGAGACTCACATCTCCAATTAACCACCAGAAAACCGGAAGTGGCGCTGTGGCTCAAGTGATAGAGCATTTGCCTTGAGCTGAAGAGCTCAGGGACAGCACCCAGGTCCAGAGTTCAAGCCCCACAACCGATAGAAAAAAAAAAAAAAAAACAAAAGACACTATATCCTCAAAAGGATGGAGACTAGCAAGAGATACTTAAGACAGTCTAAGGAGAGACAGGGAAGCCTAGAATCCCAGAGGAGCTGTTCCATCAATGCTACCACATACCATCTCAATGTTACCACATACCATCTTCAACTACACAGAAACAGAATCACACACACTTCTCAAAAGATGTACTGGGGGAGTTCATTAAAAGGAAAAAACAGTCACAGCTGCTAGAGTGCTGGCTAGTGCTGGCTCCACATTCAGGCTAGATACTATGCTTACCACCTAACCTTTCAGAACATAAGGTAGTTAAGAGTTCATCCCAGCCTATATGCCCATATCTAGGTTGACAAAAACAAAACAAAACAAAAAGCTTCATAAACGGCCACAAGTTCATAAACTGCCAAGCAGCACTTGGGTTCAAGTCTACTTGATTCCAGGGTCAATGCAGACTACCCTCATGACAGAGGAATAAAATATTCTGAGACAAGGGATAGAGTGAAGGGAGGGACTGGATAGGTAATGTTATAGAGGAGAAGCATAAAAACTTCAAAGGGCCAATGTATTGATTAAAGGAGGAGTTTTGCAAGAGAACAGTAAAGCCTGTCACTTTTTTACTCTTTTCTTATCCATTACTTTATCCTGAGGAGCCACCCACTCACTTTCCTTATTTAGTTTTCCAAATAGCTTTTTAGGAGGTTATGAAGTGCCTGTATTCTAACAAGTTAAATAGGTATAAATTCATTTCTGAGTCCAAGAACAATTAGCTGAGCAACACTGCTAATGACTACATAGGTGAAAGTAGTCACGTCTTAACCTCACTTTCACATTCAGAGACTTACATTATAATTTGAAATGATTTGTTAGTTTTTCAACTTGTTATTCAAATACTTTCCCCCTTTTCTCTTTTTTTCCTGGCTGTCATCGGTGGCATAAACCTATTCAAAGGCTTGATTATGGCAGTCAAATTAGTGAAAAAGAACATCTCTGGCCAATGAGTAGACTTATTAACAGTTGAACTTCATTCCAGATTTTTCATGGTTTTAAAAAGGGCACATTGTGCTCTGTGGCAGATCACTTGCCTAAAAAGGGCATATCAGATTAACATAACACCCTATTATTCTATCAATTTGATCTTTTCTTTTTTCTTATTGATGATGGTACTAATGTTTGAATTTAAGTCTTAATGTTTGCTAGGCAGATGCTCTACCACTGAGTCAGGCCTCTACTTCTTTTTGCACTGGTTATTTTTAAGATAGGGTTTCTGTGCCTGTCCTGGCACATACCTGGACCATAATCCTCCTATTTTCTGTTTTCCACAATAGCTGGGATGAGAGGAACATGCCACCACACTCAGCTTCTTCCATTGAGATGGAACATTTCTGCCCAAACTGGATTAGAACTACAATTCTCCCAATGTCAGCCTCCCATGTAGCTAGGATGATAAGCTTGCTCCACCAAACCCAGCTATTGGTTGATATGGGGTCTCACAACCTTTTCTACCCACTAGCTTGAAAATCTGATCCTACATATGTTAGCCTCCCAAGCAACTGAGATTATAGGCATAAACTGCCAGAGTTGGCCAATTTGACCTTTTCTGTCCTTTAACTACAACTTAATTTTTATTCAGACAGAGATCAAAGTAACTTGTGAAAAAAAAAAAAAAGGAGCTCAGAAGAAATCTCTCTTCTCAATGCTACTGGCATGAATGATATAATCAGAGATTGCCCTGAGACAAACACAATGTCCCTTGCTTTTCTTATCCTTCTTTCATAAGAAGCAAAG